CTAGGATACATAGTTTGGGGAAAGGAGCCTGCAATTTCCAAAAGTCACTGCTCCATAGAAAATAATGTTACTTTTTCTCCCTTGGAAAATAGAAGACAAAGGTATAAATGTTAATTTTTTAATAGCAATATCCTGCTCTCAATTGGCGATTAAGTTGCTCAGGGGAGAGAAAGACCACAGGCACACGGGGACTGTCCGTGCTTCAGCAGTTTGCAGAAGGAAATCCAGAAGCATTAGCTGTTCACACATTGCTTTGGTATTTTACTCCATCATCATTCTGGAAAAAGATCCGGCTATCTTCAGTTTCCAAAGAATGGGGCAAAATACTAATTCCCTTTAAGCAAAAATATTAATAAACTAGGAGAGAGATTGGTGATGAGGGCAGGGGCTGTAGACATCTGTGGCAGAGCTCGGTAGTACAGAGGCATGCCTGCAGGCACCGCCTCCGCCGTCCCCCGCCATCCTTCCCACACACAGAGCACGCCACGCTCCGTGCGGGGCGGTTGCAGACATGGCCCCTTTTCACTTGTGGTTGTCAGGAACAACAGAGATGGAGAATCTTAATTCTCGGCTCCAGACCTTGTCCGGAACTCTGAGGTCATGCCTCTGAGCTGTCTCATTACAGCCGGGGTAGCTAGGAGTCATTTGGTTAAGGGAGTTTTGCTAATGACCTAATTACTTTCCTGGGCAGAGAAAGCAAGCATCTCACCACTTCCACATGAGCCACGACCCGCGTTAGCACAAACAGATGCAAGAAGCAGATGTCTGAGAGCCTCATGCTTGAAGAAGATCACTGGTCCACAGAGACCCTGAGATGTCACACCCTTGTGTTTTTCTCATCACACAGCGTGTGTCCTGAAAAGTCACACGTGTGTTCTAAGAGCAGTCTCAGAGCTAGCCCCATGTTCACTCAAAAGGATACACACTCTGTTTTGTCAAATAATCACGGACTTGACCCTACAGTATCTGTCTCTCTGGAATGTGGAAATGGTGCCATCTTCCCTTGGGGACTTAAGACAGCAGCCACAGCTGTCCCTGAAACCAGCTCTGCACTCCCCGGGTGGCCAGGACGATGCTAGTGGTCCACTGAGTTCATGGTAAACCTTTGGCACTGCAGGTGACAAAGAGAGTTGGTCTCAGAGGGGAAGAAACAGCTCAAAGAGGGACAGAGGAGGGTGTGCCCCTTCTTACTCCCATGCCTTGCAATGACAGTGGCCGCATGTGTTTCTGGACAGACACCTGTTGGTGAGGTTGGAGCAGGGCCCAGCTTCCAAAGGGCACTGCTGGGGAGGGTGTGAGGCAGACATCTGTCCCCCACTCCCTGAGGTGAGGATGGTTGCAGGGGGGGCTGTGTTTCCTAGGCGTGGACTGTCTGTGGTGGTGGGGTTCCTGCACCCCACCATACCCACATGGGATGGGCAGGGAGGGAGGGCCTGAGACCTGTGGCCAACAGAGGAGTTGACATGCTATAGAAATAGGACCTCACTTGGAAAATAAATGAGGCTGCTCAGGAGGACGGCCACTACAGAACAACTTAAACCTGTGGAATGTAATTAGTGGGCGTGTGACAGACTCCTTGAGTTGAGGGGGGACGTTGGAAACTCAACATCAAACATAGACCCCCAAAGAAGAGTCAAATGGGAATTCAGAGAATGCAAAGTAAAATTAAAAAAAAGAAGTCTCAGTAAATTGGGTTCAAATGCCAAAGAGATGCCACTGAAGAAAGAGTCCTTGAGCCAGAGATGATGTGAGAAGTGTTCAGCAGGAGCCAGGAGTGTCCAGAGAGGGGACTTCAGGGACAAGCAAAGCCACATGGAGCAGTCTTTGTATGAACAGAACAGAACAGTCAACAAAGGATGGGAAGGCAATATTTAGAAAGTAATGACTGAGGGCTGGCCAGAGAGGAGCAGGTGTAAGTCCTCAGACTGGCAGGCTTCCTACAGTGGAGAACAGGACAGAGAGCAGGGACCAGTGAGAGGTGCAGTGAAGTTTATGTAAAACAATAGGGAAAGTCTAAGAAAAGACCAAGCATGAAAAGGCATGAATCAGACTGGCCTCAGACTTCCCACCGTAACACAGGGTGTGCTGGGGTCTTGATCCGCTTGATCTAGAAGCTGAAAAACACACTACCAGCCTACCCTGAGCTCAAAAAGGGAATCAAGAGGAAGAAGAAGAAAGACTGTTAAGTCTGCAGGACATAATACTGGAAATCCTGGAAATAAATCTTGTGTAAGTTTGATGGCAGGTACACAAGTGTGCTTAAAACTATTATTTTTTTGTATATTTAAAATATTTTAAAATGTAAATAAATATGCATAGATATGGCTAAAGAAATTAGAACCTGAAATACATTTATTATAACATTAAAACAGCAAGAGGAAAAATCAGAGAAAGAAAAATGAAAGTGCTTAACAGAAGTGAATGAAAAGTAAGGTGATAAATCCAAAGAAAAAAGACAACACAAAGATAAGAACAGCAGTCAATGAGACAGAACCAAAATCATTGCCAAGGATTAATGGAACAAAGGTGTTTCTTGAAACAATTAATGAGATAGCAAACCCAGACTGCACATGATAAAGTCAGAAAGGAGGGAAACCACACAGAATGGGAGCCAAAAATATCCACAGGCACAGGAGATGTTGAAAATTGTTTAAAACTTGTGGACACACACATAGCAATAAATCTGAAATCCATGGAAAATCAGTTAATTTCTATCGGGAATACAAAATGTGTCCAAAATCCCAGTGTATGTCGCTTGTAAAAGATGTATATTAAATATTAAATCTTCTATCTTACAGATTGTAAGCAACAGGATTGGTTTTGAGTCTAATCTAAAACCTTTGTGTTTTAAGTACAGGCTTTATCTACTGCACTTAATGCAATTTCTGACACATTTGGATATAAATCGTTCTATAATATGGTTTTTCCATCTGGGCCCTGTTCATTCATGTCTCTTGTAGGACTTTTGTTAAGACAATACTTAATTCAGCAGTTTTAATTCTTAAGATTTAATCACCTTGCCAGTTATACATTCTTTTAACCTCAGTGTCTTACAGCTACCATGAAGAGTTCAGGAGAGTCCTTGACTTTTTGGTGCAATGTAAACAAAGACCTTCACTTCCCCCACAGTGCGGGAACTCAAGAACATCCTACTTCCTTTTGTTCCCTTCTTCCCTGTGTGCGGGTGATCACGCGTTTTAGCTCTGTGCCTGTTTTAGGGCACAAAAGGATGGCTGTTGTCGCTTTGTCTGCAGGCCTCTCGCCCACCTCCCCACCACGCTGCCCTCCCCGGCTGTGTCCTCGCTTCTACCGGGTCATTTCCTTGGCGAAGATGTGCTGCTGCTGAATTCTCTACTTTCTCTTATCTGAAAATGTCTTTACTTTTGTTTTTGAAGGAAATTAAAAATAGTGTTATAATTCTAGGCTGGCAGTTAATTTCCTGCAGCATTTAAGGATGTTGTTTGATCATCTTCTGCCCATTCCACCATTTCTGTCACCCACATTTTTGGTTCTTTGAAGTTAATGTGTCTTTTTTCCCCCCTCTGGCTGCTTTTGAGAGTTTTGTCCTGGTTCTGTTGTTCAGCAGTTTCCCTATGATGAGCCTAAGGGTGTGTTTTCTTTGATTTTTTTTTTTCTGCTTTGAGTTGTAATGCTTCACAAATATGTGGTTTTGTGTTCTTTGTCAATACTTGAGAGTCCTTAGCTGATACATCTTCTAATCCTGCTTCTGTCTCATTCTTTTTCCTTTTGATGTCATCATTCATAGACAAGGGCTTTAAAATAACGATGATTAACTTGTGAAGGAAAGGGCTGAGGCCACAGCTTGAGTGGTAGAACTCTGGATTCAGTCCCCAGTACTGCAAAAAAAAAAAAAAAAAATTAAATAGGAGAATTGCAACAGAGAACTGGTGGGATATGGAAGAATATCAGGTAGAAAATCAAATTTAAAAGTCACTAAAACTGAGAGCAGAGCAGAAGGGTTAAATAGCAGAGTAGACACAGTGAGAGGAGGATAGGCCTATAGAAAATATCTAGAATGGAGCTAAATAGATGAATGAAAACCACATATTTTTATTTAAAAATCCCAGGATTTTGGCTTTCCTCCAAGAATAAAAATTTCTGTCAATATCAAGTTCTCATTCCTCATGGCTTCTATCAGCCTGAGTGGATGAACTGCTCACCCTCGAAGGACCTGCCTTTCTGCTCAGCCGGAGTCACTCCTTCCTGCTGTCCTCCTTCTCCAGGGCTGAGTGGCACTTGTCAAGGTCCCTGTCACCTGCCCTGCTGCACTCGTCCGCACGGTGTGCTGGGCACACTGGCAATCTGTGTTCACGATCCACGTTGATGGGATCCAGCAGTGGAGTGGAGAACAAGAGGATAAACCTAATTAGAGAGAAAGAATGGCGGTCATGTAAACCACAGGTCAACACTGAAGGACAGGTGTAGGGTGCTCAGAGACCATGAATGCCTCACTGCGGGGCAGGCAGTTCCCCTGAGATCAGTAAGACAATGCAGCTTGGTCAGGTGAGCGTGCATTTGTGTTGGTGGGATGGCAGGGACAGGGTTGTATATGTACTGGTAGGGTGGTAGGTGACAGGGTATATATACGTGTGTTTGTGGATGACAGGGGTGGCAGATGACAGGGCATATACACATGTGTTGGTGGAGTGACTGGGATGGCAGGTGACATTCCAGGCAATGGAACGGTTAGCTGACTGGGGAGGGCTGGGCAATCTGAGGACTCATTAAGTCGGCCAGCTGGAGCACAGACAGTGCAGGTGCCATGTGGGATGGGCAGTGAGGCCTGGAGACCTACGCAGTGCAGACTCTGGCTGGCCTTGCTGACCAGGTGGCTAGGAAGGACCCACACCGACTTCCTGGTGACTAGAGGTGCACAGACCTCCTCCATCCCTCTGTGCACCAGCGGTTGATTGGCAGGATGAGACGTCGCCGACAGGATGAGCCGTCACTGAGTAATCTTTATGCCTCTGCTTTCCTAGCTCCCAGTGCCCACTGCTTGGGAAGGTGTGGGAAGCAGACTTGGAGGCTTGTGGTCTGCTGATGCAGAGTCTGCAGCTCCAGGAGGCGAGGGTCAGCTTGTGTGCAGAAGACGAGGCGCAGACGGACGGAGCAGGGACAGCTGCCTGGATGGCCCCAGCCGTGCTCCCCAGGCCCCACTGTGAAGACGATGGGAAGACCCCCTGCCAGGCATTCCATGAGTGCAGGGCTTGCCTGGCCCCTTCCCTGTGCTGTGCTGGCAGTGAACAGAAAGAGGTCAGTCTGTCCTTGTGTGTGGCCTCCTTGGGGTCCCTCTTGAGGGGTGCTGGGGGACCGCGATTCCAATGGGGGCAGTCAACATCAGAAGTGCTTTCCATGGAACTGCACACGCTTTTCAAAGTATGAACAACTCTTGAATATGATTACAAAGTAATGTACAATTGCTGTGGAAGTTTAAAATACAGAAGAGCAAAGAGAAGAACTTTCTCACGTTAGTTTTACTTTGTATCTAATTTAATCGCTAGAGTTAAAAAACACAAGTTAATAGAGAATTACGTAGAGCGTGCACTGTATGACATACAGTGTAGTTTGTATAGACTGTATTATACATCATACATGATATGTAGTTGTATATTTGGAATGTATTACCATATGTTATTATTTATTAGAATCAAAATTTCAAGTTCACATATATATCCCGTTAATTGTTTTTGACCAAATCAGATCATAATGAATGTTTGCACTGTGGTTTTTTCATAACAGCAAAAAGTGAAAAGTTGGTAGAATGGCTAGAGTGCTTGCCTAGCAAGTGTAAAGCCCTGAGTTCAAATCCCAGTACTGAAAAAAATACCCTCACTGTTTGGCGTGAGATACATGTATTACAAATTAAAATGTGTTTTTTTTCCTTGGTGGGATTTGAACTCAGGGCTTTAAATTTGCAAAGCAGGTGCTCTACCACTTGAGCCATACTTCCAGGCCATTTTGCTCTGTTTATTTTGGAGATGGGGGTCTCTTGAACTATTTGCCTGGGCTGACCTTGAAATGCAATCCTCTTGATCTCAGCCTCCCAAGTAGCTAGGATTATTTGTAGGCATGAGCACCCAGCTGAAATGTAGTTTTACTTAGTTCTGTACACATTTTCTTGGTACAGTCTTTGGTGGCTGGGTGATTCTGCAGCTTGGCTATTGTGATAGTGCTGCTATAAACAGGGTGAGCAGGTGTCTCTGTTGTTGGCTGACTTAAATTCCTTCTGCTGTCTGTGTGCCCGGGCGTGGTACCACAGGCTCTTGTGACAGTTCTCATTGCAGTTTCTTGAGGAACCTCCACACTGATTTCCAGTGGCTGAACTAGTTTACACTCCCACCAACAGTGTATAAAGAAGGGGTCCTTTTTCTGAGAGTCCTCCTCAGCATTTCTTGCCTGTTTTTCTGATTGCCATTTTGACGGGGAGGTTTTATTTAATTCCGTATGCCGGAGGCCGACCTTGATGAGCAGAGAAAGCCCCTTTCTCCGCTTTCCTCCCCTCCCCTTCGCCTTTCCCCTCTTCCCTCAGGAGGCTCATTTCAGTGAAATACCCTGGGCATTCTCCCTGACTTCAGGGCCTTGACCGAGGCTTCCTAGCTCCTCATGTGGCAGGGTCCAGGAGTTCTGCACAGGAAGAGGAAGGAGAAGCCTGGTGAGGCTGGGCGCTGGTAGTAGGTAGCTCAAGTCATGTCGTGTTGACTTCCCCCGTAAACTGTGACCCCCTGGCCTCTGCCAGGACTTAGGATGGGGTGAGTGGGTGGAGAGAGGCCACCGCCTTGGCTGGCCCACTGGGCCTCCCACCCCTTTTGAGACCACAGCCTTTACAGAGTGGCCCCTGTGCCCTTTGCAAAGCGGGACACCCAGTTGCTGCCTTCTGGGCTGCTTGAGAACTGATCCTGGTCCTGGATTTGAATCTCTGCCTCTATGGGAAGGTATGTGTGGGGTGCCACCTGGATCCCGGCTGGCGCCATCACAGGATGCACGCCATGGGAGAGTCCCATCAGTCCAAATAGCTGGCAGAGAAAAGTTCTAGGATTAAACAGCTTTTGGGGGGCAGTTGTAAGCTATGCCATATTCCAGGAAACTGAGGCAAGGGGACCGTCTTAAAGACAAAATGAAGAGGATTATGTAAATTGTTAAAACAGTGATCCTTGGCTACAAGGATCAATAACGAGGGTGGTTCCAGTCCATGGGTGGACAGGACATTACTGGGCATACATCCCTCTGCAGTGTTTTCTCTGTAAGGCTGTGGTTCTGGCAGTCTTTTGTGACAGGTACAGTTGTGTGACACCTCCTCCTTCGTCACCTCTCAGTTTTATTTGTTTTTGTTGTTAGGGCTTGACAAGAGCAACTCTGTTTTGATCCTGACAACTGTCACACTCCCAAGCTTGGACAGAGGAGTGGAAAACTTGCCACCTGCTGCAGGTGGATGGTTTCCAAGGCTGGTGTGGTGTGAGGGAGGCCTGAGGTGGCACACTATGGTGGGAACTCGGGGCAGAGCAAAACCACTTATCTCATGGCGAAAAAAGAGAAAGAGGAAGGGGCTGGATCCCCACAGTCCCCTTTGAGAGCATGTCTCCAATGTCCTAAAGACCTTCCACTGGGCTCCTACAGGCTCCCCCACCTCCCAAGGGTGCTATGCTGGGGGCCAAGCCTTCAACATGTAGGCCTTTGGGGGACCCAAATGTGATCTGTAGCAGACCCCAGGAGCTCAGGGCTGGGCAGAAGGAGCCAGGTGTGGGATGGGGGTCTCCTGGGTCAGGGATCTGCTGGGGGCCAGATTTGACAGAGCTGGTGTGTGCCGGGCACCCCCTCCCTCCCTTCCTCTGTGTCCCATGTCTTCCTCCTGCAGAGGGAGAGAGTGATATCTTTCCTTCACCCACTGATAAGTTCAGAGCTGAGCCATGTATAATAAAAGACGGGATACGAGGAGGAAGGCACCCAAACTTATTTAATGAGTCTTAAATGACACAGGGGCCTGCAGAAGTGAAAACCCAAAGACCCAGGGTGTCTGGTGTGAAACTGCTCAATTTGATGAGGAGGGAGACGGTTGTGGACAGACAAGTGTGATTAGACAGAGGGGCCACGAGCTCACCGTAATGACCTGGGGAATGTCAGCGAGGCTTGTGGTTCAGGTTCCGCTCTGCACCCCCAGTGGTGTAGGGAGGCCCTCACACGTGAGGGTTGTACCTGGTGCTTCAGAGGAAGATCAGAGGAATTCCTCGGGAAAGAAGGAAGGGGGAGGCCCCGAGACCGTCCTGTTCCTACTGCTGCCTCGTGTGTTTGGGGCAGCTGTCCTCAGTCCCGAGGTCCCTGCCTTATCTTCCTTCTCTGCTCATCTCTCTGCCTCCAGGCCCTTCAGCCATCGGATTATAGGCGCCTGCCAATCTCATTACCTGGCTGTGGGAGAGCAGCTGTGTTTGCTGCTGGTGATGCCCTAGTGAGGGCGTCAAAGACTGCTGACTTTCAGTACCATCCTGTGTTCCCATATGGCAGGGCAGGTTCATCCTGTGAGTCCCCCTTCTCTGCAGTTTCTCTTCCTAGGGTTTCAGTTACCCATGGTCAGCTGTAGCTTGAAAGCATTGCATAAAAATTCCAGAAATAAGCAATTCATGTGTACACTGTGTGCCCTTCTGAGTAGTGTGACAAAGTCTTGTTCCTTCCTGCTCTGGCCCCCCTGGAGGTGTTCAGTGTGTCCACCTTGTATATGCTACGTGTTCAAGTCACTGAGTAGCCAGCTAGGCCATCAGATCCATTGTCATGGTGTCACAGTGCTTGTGTTTAAGTGACCTTTATTTTACTTAATAACGGCTCCACAGTGCAAGAGCAGCTATAATGTACTTCCTGTAAGTGAAAAGATAAAACTTCTCCACTAAAGAAAAAAATGTAGGCTGTGGTTGTTGAGAGAGGGGAGCAGGGAACGGGGAGAGAGAGAGAGAGAGAGAGAGAGAGAGAGAGAGAGAGAGAACACATTACTTTCATTATGGTACGTTGTTACAGTTATTCTATTTCATTATTAATTGTTGTTGATCTCTTACTGTGCCTAATTTACAAATTACACATTGCTGTAGTGTTATATGTACAGAAGAAGCTGTCCATATATAGACTTTGGTTCTACCCGCAGTTTCAGGTGGGTCCTGGGGCTCCTGGAATGTTGTCCCCCATGACAGGGAAGGACCGTAATCACAGGCAAGCAGGCATTCTTTGGTTCATGAATGCCAAGGATTTTAAGGTGATAGGTATTTTCCAGGAAGGAAAAATTATGGGGCCAGGAAGCAGCTTGCTTATTGCCTAGAAGGGGGAAAGGGCTCATTACAAGAGCAGCAGGAGGAATCTGGAGGTGAGCGAGTGTCCCGTCTCCTGCCGTGTAGTTACAAGACAGTTTGGATACATCTAAATCATAACTTTACGTCCCAAAGAGTGGATTTGATTGTGTGTAACTTTGCAGGTGTGGCTACAATTTTGTAATTTTAGTTTTAAGCAGACTTCCTGGATGGCACCACTGGTTTTCTAGCTTAAAACCAGGGCTGGAGATGTTTGAAACGGTTGCATGTGGCCCAGGACTCAAAAGACAACAGCTTGGGGAAAGAGGCCTGGGCTGGAGTCTCTGCTCGGAGCCACTCACAGACTGTGTTTCCTTATCTGACACACAACAAACAAGGAGAGGAAGATGCGGACGGATCGTGGTTAGTCCCACAGTCTCTGCACGTCGTTTGGAGTGTTAATTTTTATTTCTGTCCTTCTCTCTGGCAGCCACACACATCTCTATCACATTTCTTAATAATGTACTTCACTCCCATTGTCAAGAAGCAGAAGTGCTCAGTGAATTAGAGGATGAAGCTAAGAAGAGGAAGGCTCAACAAAGGGGAGTCTTCCTGGTGTTTGAGCACAGGATTTCGGGCCACTAAGGTGCAAAGAAGTGAGTCCCTCAGTCTTCTGAGGAAGGTGGTTCTGTCTTCCTGCCTTACTTTTCCAAGGAGCGGCAGAAGGTGGGGGAATGAGTTTCTCTTGTGGCTTTGCAGCTCCTGGTGTGTTTAGCTTTGGAAGCCCCTGTAGGGCATGGCTACCCTGCCGGTTTTTCTGCTGAAGTCCTGTGTCTTTTCCACCCAAATCTCACCTGAAAAAAAATAATCATTGACTTCTTACCTAGGTCCACAGGAAGGTGGGTTTCAAAGCCTGTCCTGTGCTTGCCTGGACGACATGGTGATGGGTACTTGTCACTCATTCAGGCTTTCCTTGTGCTGTAGGGACAG